ACAAAACAAAACGAACATTAAGACAGTGACGAATAATATTTACTTCTTTTTCTCTCTTTCAGTCAATTATCGCTCGACGGAAAGCTGTTGAAGCAGCTTTGAAAAGGGCGGCTTTATCTGAAACTATTCAATAACAGATTGAAGGAAATCCATTTCCAACCTCAACATAAGACATATAATTATCAGTTTATTCTATACGCCTAATATCATTTGTTTCTTCACTTACTCATCTATTCATTAAACAATTGCCCTCGAACTTAATAGAAATAAGATTATTGCAGATATTCAATGACTCATGTGATTATATTTTACTATCATTTTCATTATTATTGTCATTGTTATCACCAATATTATTGTTCTAGGAAACTTATTTCTTTCTTTTGTTTGTGTAGTTTACTCTTATTTTTTTCCACATTCTATCATTATATTAATTGTCTTATGTATGTTATAGTTACAGAGCAGTATGAAAGTATCTAGATAATTTGGTCAGTTTATTTGTTAAAGTTCAAACTACTTTAAATGTTTAGCGATATTTTTTCTTCAAAACAGAACACATAAAAGATAAAAAGGAAAAGAACTCTATCTTGATCACATATTCAATTTTGTTGGCGTAGATATTTGCGCATTTCGAAAATGTTCATGATAATAATATTACAGAGTTTTCTTTGTTCAAGAATTATAGAATCTTTTGGCTTATAGATATACATTTTTAAAACAACGATGTACTATCATTTTAATCGGCTTTCAATATTTGTGTCATTCTATGAATTACTTATTTCAGACTTATTTTAATGTGCGAGATACAGTGAATTATTATGAGAGGATTTTGGGGGAATCGTTCATTTGTAATTAGCTTAGAGATTGATTCTTGAAGTTGGAGTGAAAACCTGTGATCAGAAGTTTAACTAAATCGGTAGGCGATATAGCTATCTTCGATGACACCAAATCGTCATGCAATACTGCGCATTGATAGAAATTAGACAGACTCCGTGAGTTATCATGACTTGAAAATTCTCAGTCAACCATGTATGATGTTTACAGTGTGTAGTGTTCAGGGTTCCAGAACTACGAGAGATCAATTATTTTGCACCCCTTGGTTTTTAATGGTTATCCGACCATCAATTTGTAGTGAAAATCTGTTCCATGTTGAAGTTTGTAATGTTAATAATAATAATACTCTTGAAAGTTGTACAATTTCATCAATCGGTGAAATTCAAATACTTTCCACTAAATTTACATCATTTCACGAAATCGCTTCACTTCATGAATGATATCAACCAGCACAATACTAAGCAATACGTATTTTAATTTTGTAATTACTATATGCGGTTATTCATTACAGAAAGGAAATCTTCATTTAGCTGAACAGTAACCTAACTATGTAATGTTAATACTATCGGTGACAAAAAAATATCTGAAGGTGTTTTGTGGAGATTTTAGAAATTTCACTGATTGAAATGATGAGTCAATTGAAGCTAGACCACCGTAGTCTGCTCACTAGTGACTGACTTCAAGCGATACTCCTGGAGTTCTAGTGAGAAGCCGTTACCAGTTGAGTTCAACCAGATCTGTTGTGAGATATCAACTCACTGAAGACAATGGTGGCGCAGCTCCGTGTGTTGGTTGAAGTTAGACATTAATACCGTTGGATGCCGGCTCAGTGGTCTAGTTGGTTAAGCGCCTGGCGCGAAACTGACAGGTGCTGGGTTCGAGTCTCGCAGGGTCGTGGATGCACACTGCCGAGGAGTCCCGTACTAGGATGGAACGGCCGTTCAGTGCCTCCAGGTTTCCCATGGTGGTCTAGCTTAAATTGAATAATGATTTCAATCAGTGATGAATACATGTTGTTCATTCCCATACAATTACAGCAAAATCAGGGAATGAATGTTTAACGTAGACCAGACTTGGAAAACACAGCTGTTTTCGGTATTGTAAACTAATTGGAATGCTTTATGAAGCGAGCAGCAACAAATACTAATAGGTTCCGGGAGCATTTTCTAAGACCACCTGGCTTGCATCCTTATATAACATATGTGGGATTTCCAACTATAGAGGTGTCTCAAGATTTAAAGTATCTAAAATAAACACTTCTTATGAGCCCAAAGATCTAAGAAGCCTCAGTCAACTTCAGCAACTTTTCAATGGGGGCTTGTGAATACGGCCAGAGCCAGTCTGTTATAGATTTTAGTGTTTACTTACTGGTGATATGGCTCAGAATTGATCACAATGGTGGTGTGTGCACTCTTCGTGCTACCTTGAATCGTGAGATTAAAATTACATTCTTATATGCAATCTTTCTTTTGTATATTATCACCATTCTATTAACTATTTCTATGAAGTCGGTGTTCATCTCGTGCTGAGTTATGGCAACTTGGAACAATGAATATATGTGCCTGGTCCCACGTTGTAGCTGACTGGTGCAAATATTGTCTTCTAACGTAGAATCTAAGGAGGGATGGGAGACATTGGAAGCACCCAACTCGGTTCGGTTATTAATTGATTTAACAAATATATAGACGACACTTTCGTCACGTTGACTGTATTCTTTCAACAAGTACCAACTATTACTTGAGCCACTTAACATATATATGTACCACAGTTACATAAAAATTGTCACTTGAATTAAGTTTCGACTAAAGTATTGGCTAAACATACCGTTACTGAGTAAAAGGGACATCAATTTTCGAAAAAATGCTTCTAAACGTTTGATGGGAAAAAGAAACAATGCCATGTGACCTATATAAATAAGTATTTTTAGTGTAAACTTGAATGACCTAAATTATTATTTTTCAAATAATGTCTTAAAACAATCCGAAAAATGTAGATTGAGGAATTACCGCCGTAGATGTTAAACCGAGGAAATGAAAACTCCACGCGTTGATCACTACTTTTCATTGCTTTGTGATGTACATGAAGTTTGATTATTTCTTGTGATCTCTGCTTTATTTAAAGGATAAATTTTTGTTAGTAGCATTTAATGCGTGCTTGACGATATAGTGTGACACACTTTTCGGTTATTTTAGCAAACTAATATTGTGACTCAACAGTCACAGAAATTGACGAGTCTTAATACTTCTAATGTTCGCGGCCCATCCATTAAATAGAATGGAAGTAGTGACTGGAAAACAGACCTATATATTGTTGAACTACTACGATTCATACCATACATCACACAAGAAGAATGGTGAAAAATTTAGACGCAATTAGATAGTAAGATTTTCTCTAGAAGTTCAACAACGGTTGTTGTACTAGGAGTGCAACAGTTACGTAACTTACGACAGCTTAACAGTATGTAAAAAAACAGAATGGGAAACTTTACTTTATTTCGTAGCTTAACTAAATTACACGACCGGTTATTCTCCATCGGTAGCTGTTTTAAATTAAGGAATGATCCACCACGAATCATGAACACGCTTTATAAGTGACAGTGAGATTTATTGGTGATAATACCAATAAAATATTTAACAAAACATCTAGTGAAATATCCAGGAACATACTGCATGAATTAAATTAATTTGTGTGCATAAATAGTAAGACACTAATCTCAGACACTTATGTCCGTCTATTAGTCTACATTCTTGTGTTGAACCATTCTATTCAACTGAGTTAATAGCCAACTCGAGCAAACAGGTTCTGAAACACCATAGCTTGATTAGCCATAAAAATGTCAACTTCTTAATTTGATTATTCATTCAAAACAATCTACAAAGTCCAATCGCACCAAGTTAACGGACTTTGTTAAATCGATTTCAGATACGTGAATCACCGATGAAGTTCAATTTTAAACCCGATTTCATTTTAGAAAAGTGAAATATATATATATTCAGATCTGACTGTGAGTAAATTATTTTACTGTATCATTTGATCTACCTGATTGCTTTCAGCCAGTAACAAGAAATATGCATTGTCTTATTCCCACTTTTCATTTGTTACTATGTTTCCGATACCGTTCTATACCCAGTACTTATCTATTTAAAGGTCAATGTCATGATGGCCACCAACTTATCCGAGGGATACGAAATTTTTCATTGGTTACAAATGTTTATATATTCAGGTCGGGATTTAAAACTGCACATTCACAAAAACCCTTGATATTGCCCAGTTGGTTTTAGTCTTTATTAAAGAGTAATAAAGACCCTCACAATGAATAAAAAACATCATATTCGTTCGCTAATGAATGAATGGTTACTTTTCAAGAGTCATTATTCCTGATATTATTCTGAGATGCTATGTGGTTGAAGGTAGTCAACAGGAAACTCTGGAACCAGGTTTTGTGCCATTTGACACTTGTTATTACGAAGTACCTGCAATTTTTAGGGAACTGCTGCCACCTGTGGGATTTTAACCTGCATCCCCTAGATTCACATTCTGAGATGTTACCACTGACCTATTTCGGTCACGACATCCGACCACATAACACCTCACCACAGTGAAGTCACACTAGTGTTCATACGATAACCTGGTCGACAGAATTCGATCAACACTAAACGCTTATACAAACAAGATATTGATCACTACTGATTGGTCGGCCAATTGTAATTATTCTTTAATTTCCTTGTGGCTATTAAGTTTTGCACACACTCGGACGTCAGAGTCACACCTGAAAATATAATACATATTAACAGAAATAATTCAATGAAAATTGTACCCATATACATAAAATATGATGTTTTTATTTCATATGAACAATAAGAACTGTATGTTTTATTATGTAGTTGGGTTATTTTACATTATACATCACAAGATGCTAATTGCACGAAGTTAAAATACTCACTTAAAAGTAATAATAATAATTGAGTATACAAATAAGTAACATAGAGTTTAATATCGCTTTTGCCTATATTACGATTAGCAAAACGCTAATGAATATAAGGTAGTAGAAACAATTTACAATAAATGTATGGTTTAAAATCTCTTCAAAATAATTGAATAAGTACAGAATATATTTAACTAAAAACAATATCTATTGATTAGATTAACTAAGACAGCTATCATCATTTTTATGTAGACACTTTTCTATCAACATGCTCTTTAAACAGGATATCGTTTTCACAATAATTTGGACAAGAACATATGGAATTATTTAACCCTACAGACCATTTAGCACTATTCACAGTATTACGAAATAGCATAGCGATTGAAACTGGGCCAACACCACCTGGAACTGGTGTAATCCACTTCGCGTTTTCTATAGCTGTTTCAAATTCTACATCACCGACACATCGTGATTTGTTTGGATTTTGAGGATCTGTTTAAACGGAAATAACAAGAATTGTAATGATAAATATGTATATTTATATAACGTTGCTTAAAATGTTCGGTTTCAGATCACTCAATAGAATTAGTGAACCTGCAAACAAACAAATTCTGATCATGACAGTTTAGTAGTTCAAGTTTCCTGCTTCCATCCAGTAGGTTACACCCCCAAACTCCGTCCTCCATTACTCTGGTTCGGGTTGCTGGGTAATATTACCAGCCCTCATACAAACAGTTTGCTCAAAGCTTAGTACATAAATTCCTGCATTCAGTAAAGGAGTTACACTAATAATTGACGAATTAAATTTGATAATAATTAATCTGAACCAAACCATAGTTGCTATCATGACACCGTGGTAAAGTTTACATATCGTAATGATCTATTCGACATATATTGCACGAAACAACCCTTTATGTCTTACCATACCAAGCAGGTAGATCGGGGAACGGTAAGACTAAAAGGAGTAACTTAGGTTAAGAGGGAGAAGCTATTCTTCTAAACTTACACGGATGCGGTTGCTGTAAGGTGTTTCCCTCAGACAAACAGAATCTTCAGAGATACTGTATTGAATGAGAATACAAGTGGGGACAACCGAATGTATTTCAAAACAAAATTAAAAAATCTCTTAGTAAAATCTGAGAACCATACAGTAAATACTTCATTTGCAAAATGTCAATCAATCGTCTCAGACTTTATTGCTCCTTCATTCCCATACCAATTATTCTCTGTTCTCGTTTTTTTCTTTGATCTTCTTAAACTTCTGTCACCAGGCAATTTACTTTCGATTGGTGATACAGTAGCACACAGTAGCCCCCCAAATGCCCTGGTACGGCTCAGGGTGGGGATAGTCAGCTCTCCGTTGCGAAATGCTCTCACATGGCCACACGTATACAGCCACTGCCAGGGAAGTCCTACCCACTGCCTTCTCGTGGCAAGGGTGTTCTCTACGAAATTGAGAGGACGAAAAGTGAATGTCCAGCGCTTTAACTGGGTTGGTGGATATGGAGAATCCACCTAATGGAGTTGGGAAATCCTGATTACAAACCAATGGTGCACATGGGCTCGAGGATCCTGAGGGAAAAATGGAGTATGAACCAATTGTTGGTCACCGGCTACCACGCGACTGCACCTCCTGATGTTGCTCCATGGTCTTGTGGATCAGACCTTTAGGTCGAAGGCTCCGAGTGAGGCCCCCTAAGAAAATCACCTGCTTCGGTCTGTGCACCCGAGCAGTACCACAGCCCACACACAAATCAAGTGACTTGTGTGGCGCATATGTATTTGGTGCCCCTTTGTCCCATTATTTGTGTTCAAATAAATAAATAAATAGCACACACGACAATACCATCCCCAATAACGAGAGGAGGTTAGAAAAGGTAAGCCCTAAAATGTCACACTTCACACTACCCAGACAATTTCTGAATCCAGTTATATGGCCTTTTGAAGTACGGAACTAACATATCAAAATCTGACCACAAAGTGGTCGTATGTGGCCGACCTCAAGTTGTTTTCTCTTGGTCTCTGTGGTTACGCATTCAGGTAGCTAAGTTCACTAATAATACAGATTTCTTTTTAGATCACCCATGGAAAATTATTCTTTCATGACGTGGGCAGCCGGGAAATGACAAACTGTCCCCATACCACTGATAGCGAACCGTACATATCACAGTTTACGTCCTTCACGTTATTAGAAGTACATTAATAATCAATGTATAACATATTCTTTCTGAATCATTTTCTTGTGCATACCACCAATCTACCATGTCCATCACACATACAAGTTGTACAGGTTAGAACGAAAAACGGTCAGTTCAAATTGCCATAATTCATTAACAGTTCAGTGAACGAAAATAACAAGCATGAAAGTAATGGTATTGAAATTATCGGTAATTATCTTTATTATCAGAATGGGTTTTGTGGAGATTTTAGAAATTTCACAGATAGAAATCATGAGTCAGTTGAAGCTAGACCACCATTGAAAACCTGGAAGCACTGGACGGCCGTTTCGTCCTAGTATGAAACTCCTCAGCAGTGCGCATCCACGACCCTCCACCACCCGGGGCTCGAACCCAGGACCTACTGGCTTCGCGCGCGAGCACTTAACCATTAGACCACTGAGCCGGCTTCAACTGACTCATGATTTCTATCTGTGAAATTTCTAAAATCTCCACAAAACCCATTCTGATAATAATAATCACCTGCTCACTAGTGACTGACTTCAGGAGATACTTCTGGATGCCGGCTCAGTGGTCTAATGGTTAAGTGCTCGCGCTCGAAGCCAGTAGGTCCTGGGTTCGAGCCCCGGGTGGTGCGGGGTCGTGGATGCGCACTGCTGAGGAGTCCCATACTAGGACGAAACGGCCGTCCAGTGCTTCCAGGTTTCCAATGGTGGTCTAGCTTCAACTGACTCATGATTTCTATCTGTGAAATTATCTTTATATTATTCAGTTACGTGAAAACTTGTTTACAAAAAGACATATTAAAGCTTAAAACAACAGATTTAATTCCATTTACCATTCAGAACAGAATAGCCGCAATCAATTACCAATGCTCCTGGTTTAATCCATTCACCCTTTATTAATCTTGGATGTCCAACTGCTGAGATGACAACATCACCTCGCTTAATTTCTTCGTTAATATTATTTGACTGTATATGACATTGTATAACTGTTGCACCGCACGATCGTGACAACAAGTCTGCTGTGGGTGCTCCAACAAGACGACCACCACCAATGATTACACAGCGTGAACCAATTATAGGAAAATTAACATGACGAATAAAAGCATAGCATGCGGCTGCTGTACAAGGTATATGAACATGCTGTTGTTTTACGTTTTCACAGTGAGGACATAGTATATCCCCACGACTTAATACAGCTGTATTATAAGGATTTAGACTAAAGGTAAATAACAAGCAGAAAAATTGCTACGAAGATAAGTGTCTATAAAATGTATGATATACTTTAAGACACAAGTCTTTAAGACTAACTGAATAAAAATGTAGTTTCCTTGAAACTACGTAGAATTTGGGCCTACAAAAATTTCAAAAACTATCGTATAGATTGGAATATGTAGCGATAAAGAGTGAACATCCGTAACGTAAGTGATGTTCGTTGGCGAGCATATATCACCTAATGATAAATATGATTTGATGTCTATCCTTTGATACCAACAAAAACAAACACTGGAGATTATTTACAAATTAAACATCAACTACTAAGAACATTAAAAATTGTAATATAAAATGAAAACGTATGAGCAAATGACCTACCGACTGAATTAAAAATTAATAAAGCTACGCAGTCACAAATGTTTTTGCCAACCTGAATACATATTTCAGAAATATATCGTCCACCCAATAATGGATCAGTCTTGTTTAAATGTCACGTTATTCACTCGAAATATACCACAAAAAGACATGACTTGGCAAAGAAATACGTAGATACCCGATCGATTTGACAACATTCTCACTCAAAAAAGGTAACTGGAGAGCCACAGAAAAAGAGCATTTTTTGTCTGCAATTTGTCAGGTTGAGGTTCTCAAAACACTGAATTAATAATTGCAGACTCTGGATGAAAAGGTTTAAAATCTGTTGTAGGGACATAAACGAATATTATGATTATCATGCTTCATATCTAGATGCTGACTTAGTTTTGAATAATAACGTGGTAATCGAACCACGTAATTAATAATATATCATTCTACACCTACTTATTGATTATCACAAGGTTGTACTTACGTATTTTCCATTTGACTAGTTGTACCAACATACTTTTAAACCCTACTTTCGTTTTAGTTTATATTCCCTGATCGTTAAGTTTATGAAAAATGGGACAGAGATTATAATTTCATTCCAAATGAGGACTTATCAACGCACTCATTCGACCACATATGAAGTTGAGTAAGCACGGCATTGTTATCAATTTCAAAGGTTTTTATTTCATTGTTGTTAATATTCCAAATGGAATTTCATTATTCTTTGACAGCAAATGACGTCTTACGCCGAATGGAATTACATCCAACTAATGATGCCTAGCATGGTGAAATGTGAGTTCAGGATTCTGTTGCTTGATAGTTTCTAAAATATCATCAACTTTTAAATAAAGATACCCATTTTAGAAAGTTCATGTTACAACAATGAGCAAATTCATCCCTTAATATCAACAATAGGAAACTAAAAACCATAGCACGTAGTAAGCAATGAGGGGTAGTTTCAATTACAAAGATAATATATCATCTCAGTGTCAAACAAATAATGATAACCTATTTAATTATAAAAAGTTATTTTGCAAAATGTTCAGAAGAGTTATTTCGAATGTAATTAAAAATGTATGGACATTGACTTCTTCAACAAATCTAAACCCAACTGACGTTTAACACTATTCCCGATTACTGATAAAAAGAAACTAGCGGAAAAAACTTAACGGTATACAAAGAGAATAAGTGGATAAATAGTTAACGTACCCTTCAACATCCTTGAGAGTATCAACAGCATTCAGTGAATTATTAACATTAATATTTGAATCGGAATCAAACGGTAACTTTAAAAAAGGAAAGAAACATAGAAATGAAAAGTGAACACAATTTTAAAGATCGATTTAGTCCACTAGAATTGTTTTTGATTAGAATTTAAACGCCCTTAGGATAAAAATACTTTAATAGATCACAACTAAACAAATTATTTCCTAATGACTATGTGATGACTGGTTTGGTGAATTGTGACTAATCAAAAATGAGTAACTTTTATACTAAGATACTATTTTTATGCTTAGGAAATTTTTCTAGTAAAGCTTGTCAGAAGTAAATGTCAAAAACGCTATCCCCTTTTGGAAAGGGAAAATCCCACCAGTCAATAGAACACAGGATGAAACACGCCTTATGCTTAACGTACATCAGTGTTCACGTAAAAATATGTAGGTTCATAGTTCGTAACAGAGTAAACAAATAATATACGCAGGCATGGAAATATACTGAAAAGTAGAAACGAGAGTTAAAACGAAAAGCAAATAATGTGAAAACGATCAGGATTTAAATAAGAACAAGGAATGAATACACCTATGCCACTGACTTACGTCACTTAAGGGACCCCGAATTCTATTATTACAGAATAAGGATAGGTATAATAAAACGCTAAGATAAATATCATTAAACAGAAGTCCCATTTATAAGATACCTACCGACACAACAACCTAGTGCTTTTGTATCATTATTCTCGGCAACTACCAATCTAAATCTCCTTAAGCCAACAGGACATATTGGGGTAGACAATGATTTGGGAATTTTAACATATGATCTCTACAACTTCAAAATATCCATTAACTTACGAAACATTTATACATAAAACCTTTACTTACTTAGTAGTCACAGAACATACAATTATTTTGAAGTGCATGTGGTACATCAACGATCTATGACATCTATTAGATAGACTGAGTTAAATATGCCTTTCTTATTCACGTTGAAAATTCATCAGTCACTGCCTCACTAAGGTTGGTTCAACTTTTCAAGTACTCACGTACTTTAAATTCTAATTTTAAGTAAAGTTAAGACAAATTATATTATTTTTATCAAGTGTCGTGCGTCAGATATTTTTTTATTTATCGTCATTTTATTCTTTATTCACTCGAGACGTTGATGACAATATACTATATGTAACAGAGTTTTTGAATTTCGTACACTTTGGGTTGATTACAGTAATTTCATGCGAGTAATATATTTTTTTAATGTACGGCTAAATATCGTTGAACTCATTAGTTTTTTTGTAGAACGAAACCGAATAACAATGGTGGAAGTATACATTTATGCCCAGTAGAATACCTTAACTTAAACAGCAGTCACAAATAAGTAATTAACTAACACATTTGGGGACAGATATAATTCATCTAAACATACAGTTAGTCCCTGGTTATTCAGACTTATTGTGTTAACTAAATTTGGTGAGGAAACGGAAATTTTTCTCTTGAATAATAAGTCGGTATATAGGGTTTCCGAAATTTTGGGTGTTCGAGCAATAATTTCAGTATCCTGCTCGTACAGTTAACCACTGAACGGTTGTTTTCAAACATAGTTTTAAAATCCAAAATGTTTTTTTGTAATATGGCTTATTGACTAGTTTGTATTAAACGTTATCTCCCTTCCAAACATCTTTCAACGCTATACACTGCTTCGGATTATGGCAAAACAAGCAAGACTGAAGAAGTACTTCATCATTGCACTGTGTTTCGACAAGTCTGTCAAATATAGGCAACTTACGATGAGATTAACAATCTACGAAGTTGATTTTTTTTATTGGAAAATGTTTTGAGTTTAGTGGAGAAGCTGTATTAAAAAGGAAGGCTAAATTAAAGCTAACATGCCAGTACATAGAAACCCCAAATACTAGTGCTCAAGTCACCAAACCAAACGAGGCCCAGGCTAAAATATCTAACAGTAAATCGGAAATGTCACAAAAGTCGTATATCGTCAATTCATCAGACAGAAAATTTGTAATTTGGCAAGTATCTGCATTTATCCACCGATGCATATGTGCGCTTGGTCCTACGTTGTAGCTGACTGACCCTATCTACATTCACACAATATCAGCACAAAGAGATATAAGTATACAGGTGAATAAGAAATTAGAAGTACCGGTGCAAGTGAAAAATATGAAGCATGGACAATATGATCAGAGAAAGAATTAATTGGCGGAATAAAATGGGTAAAATAATTCTGAAGCTAATTGTGTAAGGGAGGACAAAAAATAAATGAATCCGTGATGTTGAGATCACTTCTGAGCCACGTCACCCAGTCTCCAACTCATAGTTACGATGGTTGTGCGGATCCCAACCACGTAATATGGCTGAGACCAATAGTCAATGACTTAGCACACTGATGTCACGTTTTGGTTTGATCACTCATAGCCATCTACTTTCATGTCAGCCAACATAGAGCATTGAGGTAAGTAGTAGTCGAGGATACGAAAAGCACGTCCCAAACAACTCACTCAATAAAGACTTACAATCATATCAAAAAATTCGCCATCTTAATACCCTGAGTCTAACCTCAGCAAAGTTTACTCAGTGGTTTCAACATATAAGAAAAATGATTCAGATACATCTCTGATTCAGTAACAATAGTCAACAAGCATCTTATACTCTTACCTTATGGGCCACGCATCACAAACAGAAGTTAAGAGAAAAATGTTAAGTAGTATACTTATTTGCTAGTTACGTGATGGTTATTTAGCCCACACCATATATAAAACAAGGTGGCAAAAGCCAAGCAAGCTTTCTGAATTTGGGACGACATTTTGTTAAACACTAACCCAATATGGCTGATGAGACTTCAAATATGAGTGGTCAATGGGAACAACTATTTTACTGCTGGTTCAAGTAACAATTGGAATCACAGTTAAACAACTTACTTGTAAAGTGATACCGTGCACTGATGAATCAGAATTCAACTTATAAACGTAATCTAAAAGCTTTATTATCATCAACTTCTTTGTTAATCTATCTCACCACTGACTCAGGTATATGTGATGGGAATCGCATGTGGGACAAAAGTATGCCATACTTTTCTGCGAATTTGGATTTTTGCTTTATGTACAACTTTGACTGAGGTAGATTACCAACCTGCATATAGAAAAATCATATGGAATAAAAAGACAAATTACAGGAACGAAACACGGTGAGAGAAGCAAAGAAAGTGAAACAGTATTTCCTCCCTAGAAAGAACATGAGGATTGTTTTTGCTTACCAAGCCACAAATCAGAGACTAATTCATCTTTAAAAATGACGAGCAACTGTTTTGGGAAAAACTAACGCACAATTGGATTTCCAAGTTGTGAAAACAATAGATTACCGATAACATGAACGACTTTTACACTGGTTAAACCTTGCGAACGACGTTCAGCACTGGTGAAAAATTTATTTATTTATTTGAACACAAATATTGGTACAAAGGGGCACCAAGTCACACAAGTCACTTGATTTGTGTGTGGGCTGTGGTACTGCTCGGGTGCACAGACCGAAGCAGGTGATTTTCCTAGGGGGCTTCACTCGGAGCCTTCGACCTAAAGGTCTGATCCACAAGACCATGGAGCAACATCAGGAGGTGCAGTCGCGTGGTAGCCGGTGACCAACAATTGGTTCATACGCCATTTTTCCCTCAGGATCCTCGAGCCCATGTGCACCATTGGTTTGTAATCAGGATTTCCCAACTCCATTAGGTGGATTCTCCATATCCACCAACCCAGTTAAAGCGCTGGACATTCACTTTTCGTCCTCTCAATTTCGTAGAGAACACCCTTGCCACGAGAAGGCAGTGGCTGTAAACGCGTGGCCATGTGAGAGCATTTCGCAACGGAGAGCTGACTATACCCACCCTGAGCCGTACCAGGGCATTTGGAGGCTACTAGTGACAAAACACTGGAGAGTCAGAACGCCATGGAAATATAGGCTTCGAGTAAACTAACAGCGTTGTAACACAATACATTCATAACTGATCACTTATCAAATATTCGACGCACCCAACAAGGCTTTTTTATGCAATTGTTTTGGCATGAAAGCAAGTCTTCTTGAGTTCCGTATCTGATATTTATAACTGCCAATCAACACATTCAGGGTTTACGATGTACGCGCATCTCAACTTCATGAGTAAGCATCAGCTATTGCTTAAAAACATGCATCTGCGTGATGGAAAGTGAAGTAATGTAAACTGGTTACCTTGAAAGTGACACTTTTGAACTATCTTATTTGATTGAGCAATAAAAAACTATAATTATGAATTGTAAGGATACAATATATGATAAATACAATGGGGTCTGATTTAACAGCTATCAGGATTATCTCTAGTGGTTGGGCACTGACATCCTTACCTCGAAAACAGTGCAATTGATTAAACTCTAATAATAACACTAACTTTGCAAATGACAAAAGTGGTTGCAACATCAAATAATTTAAAAAGGAGCTATAAGATTCTCCAGAGACGCACTTGTTATCAGTTGTGGATAAATCCTTGGTGTAACTAACATAAGTACGGTGCAGTGTGGCGCTCGAAAAAGTTACCACATACTTGGGCACAAACTTAGATATCAATCAGTTGATTTCATTCTCGAAAATCATGTTAACCTTAACACTCAAGTACATTGAAATTCAGGTCGAAAAAATTAAATTTTCTTAACGTAATCAATACTTCAATTAATGCTTAAGTGCTTACAAAAGCTTAATTGATCGTAAGCACAAGTGTATAGTATAGTAGGTCACCAAACAACAGATGTGGCTTATAGTCTAGTGAATTACCCAGTACGTTAGCAATCACTTTTACGGTTTATTTCCTTTCACACTAATGACCGGTCATCAGTTAACTAGATTCAGTCGTAATGCAGATACATCGACCATAGGGTTAAACTTTGAAGTGTCTACAAAGTATAGAAAGACTAAAAAAACATCACAGTTATGTTTATCTAAGTAATTCCATGAAACGGACTATTATAGTTATTAGGTAACGAAAACGTTACTCAAGGTAAGAGAACCGCATGCAGAAAACTATATATTTTAAATGTGACAGCCGCAAGTGAATCCCGAAGCTAATCATATCAATCACAAACTTTAATGCGACTAAGCTGTAGGGTTTTAACAGGAACAGTAATAACCCAGTACGTTATAGATGTTTTGCAGATGGCGGTAGCATGAATCCAAGCATGTGACATTAACAGTTGCGATGCGTCCAGTTAAGGAAGTAGTCAATAAGCTACAGGCATCTGTTAAATTACAACGCATTGCGGAGACTAAAACGATAAAAGACCCAGGAAACTTACTTCAATAACGACCAATTTGGGAGAAATGTTAAAGTTTGATTTTAAATAAGCCACATCTGATCTAATTTTTTGACCAATAACTGAAATGATGAACACAAAATTAATGTAGTTATACCTTGGGCAATTTGTTGGCCACACAATGTTATTCCCTTAGACATTATAGAGATTGGATTCTAAAATCAAAACCAAAGAAATCACACTATTCAACCTCACCATCAGAATCAAGGTATTCTACAAAAAGACGTTGATACATTGCACAAACGTCAAGTCAGAACCTTTCGGAAGATCAACAGAAGTTCAAGTGGCATTCAACCTCTATTTCAAAATATATATAATAAATTTCCGCTCAAACTAGTATAGACTAAAGATCATTAATGCGCGCCATATTAAAAGGACAGTGATATTTTGCCTCGCTCAGTTAATTTTATTGTTGTAATCGTTTATTCCGCATCAGGACTACTGTTTTTATCCTCGCTACGTGTATTCCAGTCAAGGTAATCGCTAAAAGTTTCGATTTTCTCGAAAATGCACTTTTCGAGTACATTGGTTTTCTTGAATTTGTTTACACTTTTGGATCTTATACTTCTTTTGTGATCATTATATTTTTGTCTCTGGGTATTTTTTTATGTCTAGTTTCTTGTGAAAACCTATTATTAATGACCGGACAGTGCAAAAAAGTAGTTGCCAACGCCTAGTTTATTGGTATCCTGGGGACAGTGGTACGAGGTGTTTCGAATGGTTTGGAATGAAATAGAAGCTTTCGCTTAACGGGCTTCCGTATCTAGTAGCGGTCGATCACCGATACCTCCAGACAGGAACCTAGGTATATTACCATGAGGAAAACGAAATTGGTAAATCATAGTAAGATACTAATCTTAGTCTTTAAGAATATACCAGGTTTCCTCTTGAAGGACTCCTGGGGAATCTTTTGGACTAGCTGAGTCGTCAGCGAAATCCAGCATTTGACTACTCTTAGGGAGTAGGTGTATCTACAGTCCACTCTGTTTTGTTGTCTCCAGTTCCTGGGTGTTACCCCCTAAGTTTGTGTTGGAACTAAAATTTAGGTATTTAAAGGGATGTCCAAAAATATTTAGGATGCTGTAGGTCATTAGAACGTCACCTGTTATACGCCTGAAGTCGGATAGGTAAAGGATCGGTGATTGGAGGTGCTCTTCATAAGGCTTTAATTTGAGTCCCCAACCTGATTTCGTGGATCGCCGTTGGATACGTCCGTGTGTTCTCATACTTTTTGACTGAGGGAGGAAATACCACACTCCCATACCATGAGATCGAATAAAACTGTTCAAGGTTATGTGAAAATTTCTTTCGTCGAAATGGCTAAAAATGCGCTTTAGTGATACCAGTGTAAGGTTTGCTCGGAAGGCATTTATGTCGCAGATCATGGGATACCAACACCCCTGGATTCTTTTCCAACGTGAAATACCTCTAGAGGGGAGTTACCTAAGTTGTTTTCGTAGTCTGTAAAACGTCTCTGATGGATTACTTTGTGCTTTGAAATGTTAAAGGTAAGTTTGCTGTTGTCTGCCCAACTGTGAAGTTCAGTCAGATCCTTTTGATACGACAGTTTATTGTGTGTGCTCTTCAGAGTTTCACGTTATCAGTGAAAAGTAGTCAATTTAACGATACCTACTGTAGAAGATCGTTTACATAAATCAAAGAAAGAAGAGGTCCTAGTACTGAATCTTGGGGGACCCCAGTAGAACACAGCATAGTCTGAAAGTGAAGTTAACCCTGACAAAATGTCGATTTCTAGATATGAAGTGAGCCAATCAAATAAATGTGGTTTGATATATAATCGTTTGAGCTTATTGACAATACGCATATATGGTTCGCCTCATCGAAAGCTGTTGAGAAGTCAAGGTGCGATTAGCACAATAGATGGTACTACGACGTTTTCACGAATTTAACGCCCGCGACTTTCAAACGGCTTAGTAAAGCAAGTGTAATCGAGACTCATTAAATGATACCAGCTTAATCATTACACAAATTTACGTGAAGCTGCCTCAAATACGCTCCGAGACGGGTGACCTACATGGACCAGAGGAGGACGTATCGACATCGAAGTCTGTTAGAAATATAAGCTCAAGAGAGGGTTTCTTCTATCTCTCGCCCTAGGTCTCTTTACAGCTGGAAAAACAACAATTTAACCACCTAGGTCCTGGACAGTCCTCCAGGATCTTACGGCATGTAGCGTGACTGTGATCGCTACTCCAATGAGAGCTGATGAAAAGGAATAAATCAATAGCCTGAAATGATACAATGTTGCCAAAGAATAGCTAGTCCTACACACAGTTGCTTATAAACTGAATGCTATTCAAATTGTGACAGGTCATTTTTTATTGAATCAAGCTAAATGAGGGCTCAGAACTCTTTTTGAGCATGAAATCGAGTTGATAATGTATCTACCAGACCAGATCAGGAAATCTCTGGAGTCATCTTGCTAAAGGTATGATGACTAAGTACTTAAATGTACTTGGAGACAGAATCAAACCTGGCTTCTAAAATTAGTATCTCAATCTCTCAATGTAAGGGATTTGATACTACATAATGGATATAAAATAAAGGGGTCAGAGGTTTTTGATAAAAAAGACTTGCCTCTCACTGAACGTATGAAAATATGAGAAGCTGGTATGAACTGAAACTAAGGTGAGACGCTGTTTAGAATGACATTCCAAGTGAAAATTCTCGGGTGATGAGGCTTTGACAGAGAACGATGCCGAAGCCAATTCGTGTGCAGCACGAACACATTCTTAAGGTCATAGTTCACACCAAGCGCTCTACAAATCTATTTTATAACAACTATAAACTTAAAAAGTTGTATTGCATAAATGATTAGCACGACCAGAATTCTAACACAACTATGCTGAAATTGGATCTGGTGTGTAAAGTGGACGCAGTGCCACTTTGGAAAATATTTTGAAGACTGTACTTAGTGTTATACTAATGCATAATCCTAATCATTAATGCTCCAAGACATCTGCACGAAAGTACTGTTATTCATTTCTAATGATTATATCTACCTAATAACCCTACTTGAGAAGTATACTTTGAGCCGAAAAATGTTGTAATTTGTAGATCATGTTTATAAAAATGGCATGTACCTGGCATTGCAGAAATCTCAGTCTTCAGTCTTCAGTGATAAGGATAGTAGGTTGATGAACCTGTGTTAACCCTGACACATTGCTTTCCAGTGAAGATCTAGCTTTTCCTTGAAAGTATTCACTGATGGGGCTGATACCACTTGTTCGGGTAAGGCGTTCCAATGATTGACTACTCGATGAGAAAAACGGGATCCCACTTTAAGTTTAATAGATCGTGGTTTATGAACCTTCTTGCTATGACCTCGGAGATTATTAGTGCTGGAGGGAGCAAAAAGATAAAACATATTAACACTCAAATCATAATTAAAGATACGAAATGCCAGTATAAGGTCACCTCGTGTCTTACGATACGACAAGGGGAAAAGATTTAGTCGTTTTAAACGCTCATCGTAAGAAAGTCCAGAAAGACCCTTCACTAATTTCGTTCCCACACGCTGGGCACGCTCAAGTGAGTTAGTATCATTTACCAGACACGGGCTAGCTGCTTGGATACAGTACTCTAAATGTGGTCTAACATATATGGGATATAAAATTCTAAACATTTCCTCGTCAAAAGATTTGAACGCTCGGCGAAGTGACCATAACGCACGAAAACCTTTGACAGCGGCTGCTTTGCAATGCTTAGTTGTTTTTAAATCATGACTTAATATTACTCCTAAGTCTTTATGCTCTTGAACGCATGGAAGAGGTTTACCCTCAATAGTGTAACGGTAACTATTACCGTGACCGATGTGCATTAGTACACTCTTCCTAGCATTGATTTCTAAGCCCCACTCTCGAGCCCATCTAAATAAATCGTCTAAGTCAGCTTGAAGATCCACATGATCAGCCGCACTTTTTATTGTTCTCCAGATTTTTACATCATCCGCAAACAATAATGTCGACGACCTAAGTAACAGCGGTAAATCATTAACGTAGAGAAGGAAGAGCAGAGGCCCTAAGATGGTGCCTTGGGGTACACCACTTTTGACCGGCTTCCAATCGGATAGCTTTCCGTTGACTCTAACTCTCTGTCTGCGGTCACATAAGAAATTTCCTATCCACTCATGTACAGTACCTATTATTCCGAAGCTCGTGAGCTTCTGCATAAGACCTACGTGTGAAACCTTGTCAAACGCTTTTCTGAAATCTATGAATATCACGTCGACAGACAGACCGTTATCTAGGGCTGCTGTCCAATCCTCCCTCGCAATAAGCAAGTTAGTCAAGCATGAACGCTTGTTACGAAATCCGTGTAGCTCAGGAGCTAACAGATTGTGTAAATCTATGTGGCTTAGCAACCTAACCCGAATTATCTTTTCGAGTAACTTAACGACTATGCTAGTTAGACTGACAGGCCGGTAGTTAGATGCTATCTGTCGCTGACCGTCCTTAAATATAGGACTAACTATAGCGTCCTTCCAATCTCTAGGGAGTTGAGCGAGTGAAAGGGACTTGTTGAAGAGTGTCACAAGCGGTTTTGAAATAATGTCCGCAAGAGATGACAGCAACTGTGGATGTAACCCGTCAGGGCCCGGTATCTTACCAGGTTTGAGGTTAGTTATCAACGGAAGGACAGTTTCCTCAGTCACCTGTACAGATTCGATGGTTGGTATCTCGGTGTGAGTGGGACAAGTATTTGTTACAATAAACGTAGAGAAGACTTCGCTAAAGTAGTCTGAAAAAGTCTCAGCTTTTGCTCGATCTGATTCAGCTAGTAATTCTGAATTGTCGTGTGACAGTAACGGGGGAATACTATCACTACGTTTCATTTGCCGTTTAACATACGAAAACAAGCGTTTCGGACAAGTACGTCTATCATATACTAACTGTCGTTTGTAAGTGGTACGAGATTTGGCTATGGTTTTCTTACAGATATTACGGAATCTTCGATACTCACGCTTAAATGGTGCATGACCTGTCAACAAGAATAAGTCCCAGAAATGTTTCCTACGCTTTAACAGATTTCGGGTTTCCTTATTAATCCATGGAGGGCAATGTGATAGCTTACGTGCTGACCATGGGATAAACGGCGACGTTACGGACTCGAATGTAGCCTTAAACTTATTCCATTCATCTTCGATCAATCCATCCGCGTCGACCGATCAATCAGTCGAGATAGCACAGTTTCTGATTTCCGGAATATTGGCTCGCCAGATATTGGGACGGGGTGGAGCAGATACGAATTGTATACCATGTGTCCTAAACTTAAAGTGAATTACAACTTGATCACTGTTCACTAGTGGAGGAAGGTGCTGGATATCAAGGACATCCACAGAGTGGTGGGTGAGGGCGAGGTCCAGCAGTGACGGAACATGTTGCAAATCAATATGTGTCGGTTTTGTGATACATTGTACAAGTGCACACTGAATAACGGTAGATAAAAGGTCGCTATCGAAACCACTACCTGGAGCTGTAAGCTCTATCCAGTTGATATGCGGTGCATTGAAGTCCCCAATGATGAGACAACATTCTGCCATACTCCAAGAACAGATGTGTCTTAGGATAAAGTCGTCAGCAAGACAAGACGGACTACGGTATATTACCCCTATAGTCACTAACCCATTTCTAGATTTAATCTTACAACACGCAACCTCACATGTGCCACTGATATGAGCCTCTGATATGGTTGATTGTATACGAAAGTGATCCCTAACGTATAATATTACACCTCCCCCTTTGCGACTAGAAACTCTATCACTTCTGATACAGATATAACCAACAATGAAAGGAGGACAGTCTATATCAACGGCGAACCAAGTTTCTGTAACAGCGATTATATCGGGACATAATTCTTGCACCATCAGACTTAGCTCGGACGTTTTATTTCTAAGACTACGAGCGTTCATGTAGCACACACTTAAGGTGTTTTGGCAATCAATCGTTCTACCCATGTATTTTTACTATTATATAAATGGTCTTCGGACCTGCCACACTAAGTTTCGGAGCTTTCACATCAGGCGATCGGAGCTATATGTACAGAGATACACTACCAAGCCTGATTTAGTCAGTCACAGATACTGGTCTAAAACAGTTTGTTGACAGTTGGGAACTAAATTTCACATGTTTCACAATATTAGAAGCAAGCAGAACTCGGAAGCATAATGTAATAGCAGTACTATTCATCAGATATACTATCGCATCCACCGTCATTGACAACACATTTCAAGAAAATGAGATGTGCTTATTAGTCAGTATCCACTTGAAATGGAAAAGACAGGAGTTGCTGATTGATTTTGTGGGGCTCAGTGGAATTTCCTCGATATATTGATAGCCTATCTAATATATATTTAAACCTTCTCGCTTCTGTCTTTTGATTTCACGTGGTGGGTACGATTCATAGTAGAAGGTGTTACTGGTTAAAGCGTTATCAAACTCCGAATACCTGTGTCATCTTCAATTTGATCTACTAAAGACAAATTGTGAGGTAAGTGATATCTTGATAGACGATTTAAACACTCCGTCATCAAGTTGTCGATGTATAATCTAAGGAGATCTTAATGCAGTTATGGTAGGTTGGAAAATCTGAGAACCGAATTGTCATAAAATTATTTCCAACAGCACGCGGTTGTCAAATGTACAGCAGTATAAAATGTAATTCAATAATATAGTATATTTCTGCCACGGTAATTACATGTCATTTTTATAGGAATGATCTATAAGTCGCAACATCAGTTCGCTTACAGTATGCTTCGTATGTGTAGTTATTATATGAGTGAAACCAATAAAAATAAGTCGGTACATTAGTGCAGATGCCTCTATCACCATGGCTGCCAAAAGGCATCGAGGCTCCTCTCCCTACGAAAAAGGAAGTCAAAACATAGTGTCTAAGAGAACAGCATTCATTAGAGCTTGATTAGATGACGGAAACGGCCTACAGTCCACCGACGGCTTGTGATCTTAACCAGTAGGTCGGTTAACTCTGACCAATAAGTCCAACTAAGTTGTAAATCAACAATTTGACTTAATCGTACCAGTAAAAGTAGATATCTTTAAAGAGATGTTTGACAAATAAATATTTATTCACGAGTTACCATCTAATACTCCTATCATCTGTGACTAATGCATGTTTCATAAGTTACCGGTTATCATTACTATCTCTCACTAACTACCTTCTAATTCACTGATTATCATCATTTTTCCCTCTTATCCAGTTCCGACTTCTCACACTTACTGTGATACCAATCAGTTGACTTACTTGTTATTCTTGAAATAATCGTTTTCTCTTAGCACTTGAGTTGTCACTTTATTATTTTAACACAGAAACCAAACCAAATCCTAAATAGTAATGTGATAAATGTTTAGTATTCAGAAACCCTACTACACAGAGACAAACACACCCACTCAAGCTACCAGATATACGAAGCCAAAAATAACTATCGAACTAGTTAAACTACCTCCCACAGAACATTATCAAATACCTGAGACGGTACAGAGACAACAAGAAGCGAACGCGAAAAAATTGTCGGTGTATACAAGTTTGTGATGAAGATATTGAGTTTATTTTTTAGTCAAATGATGGACTTCACTGACGGCTGAGCTAGTCCAAGCGAATTCTCTGGAGTCCTTTACGAGGAAACATGGAATATTCTTAAGGACTAAGGATAGTATCTTATTGTGATTTATCAATTGCTTTTTCCACTTGTCGATAATATACCTAGGTTCCTGACTGAAGGTATCAGTGATCCACTGCTACTAGATACGGAAGCCCGTTAAGCGAAGGTTTCTTCTATTCCATCCAAAACCATTTGAAGTTTGTCCGGAGCGGTTTTCGCATCTAGCGTTACGTACAGTTTTTATTTGTAATATCAAATTCCAGTACAGTTTTATTTCACTGCCTCTAGATGATATTATGTCTACACGTAATCCATCCCCACCTCCAGATTATGACGGAAATGCCAAACAACTTGATATGATAGGGGACACAACTTACAGCAGACGTTGGCTTTTCTCGTTGTTAATTAAATTTCTGGAAAAGGTTAATAGTGAGACCTCTGCAACTTGGCTAAGTTCCGACGAAGATCCCTCTCGTAAGGAGTCAGAAACAGAACTGGAGGAACAGCTGTGTTGTCTGTGGGATCTAACTGTCAATCGTGATGTTCTGAAATTTCTCGACGAGTTTGAAATCGTCTCAATATTTAACAATGCTCTGGGGAGTGTCCAAAACCCCAGGTTACTGGTGAGATAGCACGTTTGTGCAAAAGCTTATTAGTAAAGGAAATTATAGTAGGAATTTTGGGAAATCTAGCTTATGATCCACTTGCCTGCCGTAAAATGAGTGAAAGTGAATCGTTTATGTACGTTTTTATACTTATAACATTTGATTTAGAGTAGTGTCCGTGTAATAAACTTGCTTTATACAAGAGATACACCTGCACTAATTGAAACATGCAGGTTAGTTTATGTTCTCTGTATAAATGTTCCTAAGATTAATTCAAACTGTGCTTGCTTCAGATGAATATAGAACACCTTGGTTAAATGAAATTCGATTTCAGCCAGAGTTTTTTGAAAATATGCTTTTTATTTTAAAAAGCTCAACTAATGGTATTTTTCATGGATGTATTGTCTACACTCCTGATAGCCACACTTTTAATAGGTACAGTACGTCTCATTGACGTCATTACACGTGAAGATGACAGTTTAGCTGAGGTTTGGTGTGGTGAGCATCTGCTTACTGCTATATTAATAGCCCAGCACCAAATGAAGTAATTTTCCATTTCCCAATTAATTATTTTCGCACAGGTGGCTTTATGGCAGTGAAGTAGAAATCATTCATCGTCTACTTTATACATTTTCCTCTAATGTAAATGGTGTGTCAGCCCTAGGTTAGTTTCTTTATTTCCGTGAAAACTCATTAATAGTGTCCTCTTTTAAAACTTGTATCTATCATGTCGGCATATATCTGTGCACATTGCAGAATGACCAGATTGTTGCGTAGGCATGTAATATCTGTGGTGATGAGTAGCCCTCTTTCATTGGTAATTAATTCGAACAAATTTTTAAGTATTCTGTGCAAAACCTTAATATCGTCAGATGTCTGTTCACCACGATATAATTAGAGATAATTTGTGAACATTAAAAACTCGTCGATTGAATTGTGTTAGCTGTTTTCTTCATATCGATTCATTGCTCTAATATTTTTAATGATAGCCACAATAAACACATACGCAGAAATTTGTTTGAGTTGATGGCTTAGTCGCTGATTCTAGGGATCCTATGCTAAAAAGATTTTTACGCCTCCTTAATATTATAAATCATAGCAATGCCTTATCTTTTGATGTAGTTTTTAGCTTAAACGGTATGATGAATTGTTATGATTAGCACTGTAGGTGTCTGAATTTAGTGACTAGTTCCCTAGACCTAAAGATGCAAGAGTACGACTATATCCTGGTGGATGAAGTGCAACCCTCAAGTAAATCTTAACTTGCATACATGTATATATTCCAGTACTTCATAGCCAAAAACTATGTCCTGGATTGTGTTGAGGAACTAATTCTTTATAAAGTCTGATATAGGACTGTAACTGTAGTGGTATGTAGTTTAGATTGTCGAATAAATTAGGCCTAAATACTCAACTCGTATTTAGAGCTTAGTTAAAATTGATATTCGATAGTTATAACATACTGTTAAAGAGCTCACATCACGTGTTCTTATGCTGTTTCTTTGTGATGTCGAAGAGTTAGATGAAACGTGATAGGCAAAACAGAATCCTCCTTCGCTCATAAGATTTGTCAAATACTGTGAACCTGATCGCTGTATACAGGAATATATTTATAAACATTCTGTTATAATAACTATGACTTTTTTACCTAGTGTTATTATATTCAGCTAATTTCAAGTCATAAAATTTACTTCATTTCTATTGACACGTTTGCTTTCGTAATTTGTTCTTTACTCCCAATTTCCTCCTACTTCCAACTAAAAGTTTATTTCTGGTTATCTATACGCGTGAAAATCGATTCTAACCATGGTTTGGAACTTTGTCTGTTGTGTGCATTTTAAAAGACGTCCGCACGGAAGAATTATGAATTTTTTTAGCTTACATAGAAATGGTTTTTAATACCAGCATTTAAGGTTTTTCTTTCATTCCTTTATGATTCTATCGTCAATAGTAAATTGAGAAAGTTTTAGGCGACACAGGAACCTGACGTAAGATGGATTCATCTCACTGTCCTCATATTTCATCCAAATTACTTGGTCCAAACCAAAAAGTACCGGTGTTAGTAAGATGAAATCTTGAGATCTATTTCAGTAAACACATGAATGAAGATGTAGTCACTAAATATCATTTGAAGTGACTATTCAATACTACTTTAGAAACATTTAGGTGAATGTATGTCATGTTAATTCAAGTACACATGTGTCTACCCAGAAGTACACAAAACGTGACTGAACACTTTTATACAAAGACTGAAAAAATGAATATGTCAAGTGTATTTTAGGAAAGACTAACTAGGTGCATATTCCGGACAGAGCAAGGTTGTATTTGGAGTTGCATGTAGTCTTTTGTGGAAGTATTTTCTGAAATATCTGTCAACCTCTAGTTGAAGATAGCTTTAGTAAACATATTTCAACAGATGTATTCAAAATAGTTAGTTTGAATAATTCATTTTGCTTAAATCTAAGTTAGAGAAATTGATTCGCAGGTCGGCTCACGCTTGTTGTGGTATTACTGTAGGAAGTATGGAGGCTTTTTTGTTTCAATAAGTATGTCGATTTGTTGTTTGCCATGTTTTGATGAAATACAAACGTATTGACTTTTTACGTCAGTTGTGTAACTTGTTCTAATATTGGGCTATAGAGTGCTGAACAAATGCAGGAAAAACTCGCTGAGTGCTACTTTAAGTCACATGGTTTTGTCAGTCGTCACAAATATTAAAGGCTTTTTAACGAGTTGAAGTGGCGTGAAATTTACAACTGATGCTAACCAAAACATTCTTTATTATTTTTTAAACTTTAAATATTTGTGGGTGTTTATGTATTGCTTTGATTATCTAACATAGTTTCAAATTGTTAGGATCACATTATGTTATGTATGAGATCCCGTAACAAAAATAAGAAGTATTTTATTTTTATTGTTTCTATGTGTACGTTACTCCAATGCGAACTCCTATGACATGTCCATCCCCAATATTTTTTTTATTTATTTATTTAATCACATAAACATTGGTACAAGGAGGCACCAAATACATATGCGCCACACAAATCTCATTCGATATGTGTGAGGGCTGTGATACTGCCCAGACCGAAGCAGGTGGTTTTCTTAGAGGGCCACTCCCCGAGCTTTTGACCTGAATGTCTGATCCACAAGGCAGTGGAGCATCGTGAAGAGATGCGGTCCCATGGTGACCGGTGACCAACAATTGGTTCATACGCTATTTAATCCCTCAGGATTCTGGAGCCCATTGTTTCCGAATCCGGTTAATGCGCCGGACATTCGCTTTTCGTCCTCTCATTTTCGTAAACAACACCCCCGCCATGAGAAGGCAGTGAGTAGGACTTCCCTGGCAGAGGCTGTATACGCGTGGCCGTGTGACAGCATTTCGAGAGGGAGGGTGGGCCCACCCCACTCTCGGCCATACCAGGGCATTTGGGGGCCCATCCCTAATATCCAAATAAAAAAGGATTCTCCGCATTTCTATGACTTTCAAAACATATTTTTCAACCACAAACAATCTAGGTTACCAATGCTGAATTTTTATTTACTTGCCTTTTACTTTGTTTATTTATTAGTTGTTTTGTCCAAATTGTTTTTGGTCTGTCAATTTTCTTTTTAGTCAATTCATTTTCCGAAGTGTTACCTACTTTTGGTGTTTACTTGCGTAAAGTTTGTGAAGATGCACCTCATCTCATCCACTTTGTCACGTACTACAATAGTTTACGAGCAATCATCCCGATAATAGATGTCGTTATAGCTAGCTTACCGTGCATGGATGCTATGTGTTGTTACTTATCAGGTAAATATATCGAGTGTACGTTTTCCTACCTTTTATATACAGCGTAATTTTTTGTAGTTTTAAAACTGCTCCACCGCATGCTTACAGAGAAATATTATTGTCTAGGCTGAAATTTTGATGTGAGGCCAAAGCTCGGGAAAGTAAAGCTAAATTTAGGAAAAAATAATTTCTTTCTTCTAATATTCACTCACTGTTCATACTTTCTAGATCCACATATCCTTCCTTCTTTAATACACATTGCTTGTGGTTGCCAAAAACAAAAGTCTGAACTACCTTTGGTTCGTGGAATTTTGGCCGATTTAAATGTATTATATAAAGATATCATCAAATCAATCAGTTCATGTTTAGAAGTAAGATAAAGAATTTTTATTTTCAAACTTAAATTATTAATTTCACATTAATTTTAAGTAGAAAATTAAATTCATAATATTAGTCATTGAGAAGAAAACAGTTCAGCTAAATTGTAACTTCTTAGTGAAGATAATGCTAGTTTTAACCGTCTTTCCTCTGGTTGTAAACGAAGTTAGTGTTTTTCTGTATACATGAACTTTAGAACTAGATTTATTTAATTAGTATTTATTTGAACACATAAATATTGGTACAAAGGAGCACCAAATACATATGCGCCACACAAGTCACTTGATTTGTGTGTGGGCTGTGGTACTGCTCGGGTGCACAGACCGAAACAGGTGATTTTCTTAGGGGGCCTCACTCGGAGCCTTTGACCTAAAGGTCTGATCCACAAGACCATGGAGCAACATCAGGAGGTGCAGTCGCGTGGTAGCCGGTGACCAACAATTGGTTCATACGCCATTTTCCCCTCAGGATCCTCGAGCCCATGTGCACCATTGGTTTGTAATCAGGATTTCCCAACTCCATTAGGTGGATTCTCCATATCCACCAACCCAGTTAAAGCGCTGGACATTCACTTTTCGTCCTCTCAATTTCGTAGAGAACACCCTTGCCACGAGAAGGCAGTGGGTAGGATCTCTCTGGCAGTGGCTGTATACACGTGGCCATGTGAGAGCATTTCGAAACGGAGAGCTGACTTCCCACCCTCTGCCGTACTATTTGGGGGTTATTGATATTACTACTCTGCTTTGTATTTGTGTGAACCTTAGTGATGTATCAGTTTTTATTTGGATCGAAGCAGTGAACACACATTTTTTTCATGACTTTTCATTCGAATTGTATTGACTGAATCAAAGCAATACTGCTGACTATTAGATTGTATTGGTCCCCAACTACGGGGAGGGAGTCCGTTTTCTCTTTCAAAATGCTCTCATATAGCCGCGTGTATATAGCCAATCCTAGGGAATTCTTCCCAGCTATATCTGCTACCTTGATGTAGTGGTTAGGCTTGCCTATCGTGATGACAACCGAGATTTATTGGTTGGGACACATGTTTTAGCCCCCGAACGCCCTGGTACGGCCGAGAGTGGGGAGAGTCCGCTCTCCCTCTCGAAATACTCTCACACGGCCGCGCGTATACAGCCTCTGCCAGGGAAGTCCTACTCATTGCCTTCTCGTGGCGGGGGTGTTGTTTACGAAAATGAGAGGACGAAAAGCGAACGTCCGGCGCTTTAACCGGATCACAAACCAATGGTGCACATGGGCTCCAGTATCCTGCGGGAACAAATGGCGTATGAACCAATCGTTGGTCACCGGCTACCATGGGATTGCATTTCCTTACGATGCTTCACTGCCTTGTGGGTTAGACCATTAGGTCAAAGGCTCGGGGTGTGGCCCCCTAAGATAACCACCTGCTTCGGTTTGGGCACCCGGGCAGTATCACAGCCCACACACAAACCATGAACTCTATGACTATGGCAACTAATTTCCTCGCTCCGATCAACATTCAATCGATTCAAATAATTATTACTATTATTGTCATTATTAATACCATTATTATTATTACCATTATTGTCATTATTATTATTATTATTATTATTATTATTATTATTATTTTCCACACTGTTCACCCTCTTTTATACTTATACAGCGGCTCGTCTTTGGTGGAAATTCGACTGTATCTAAACGTTCTCGAGTCACTGTCCGGTTGAAAATTGTATGTTACCACCGATTACGAGAACTGAAGCAGTTTTTCTGAAACCACGTGCACCATTCAAACTGTCTGCCTTCAACGTTCGCACATTAGTGCAGGTCGGACAACAGATAGGGCTGGCTATGTCTTTGGAAAGTCGTAATATTGATGTTTGTTGTCTATCCGAGACCCGTATTCAAGACTCTGGCGAAGTACTACAAATTCGATCTCCATCTGTCGCTTCGAAAAGCTTGTTTTACGTGCGCCTATCCGGGGACCCTGTGGCATCTTCGTTTGGTCTTGCTGGCGTTGGTGTCGCACTAAGCGCTAGAGCTGAGGCAGCACTAGTCGATTGGATCCCCATTAACAGTCGGCTATGTGCTGTTAGATTAGAAAGTTCCATCAAAATGAGAAGAAATCGGCGTGAGAAACGATGTCTTTTCGTCATCTCTGCTTATGCCCCGACAGATTGCAGCCCGGATGCAATCAAGGATGAGTTTTACCACCAGTTATCTGTTCTTCTCCAGAAAATGCGCTCGACAGATATTGTAGTACTAGCCGGAGACTTGAATGCTCAGGTCGGGCGTCTAGGCACAGAAGAGAGTCGTCTAGGTGGCCGATGGGGACTCGTTGGTCGCAGGTCAGATAACGGGGACCGTCTACTGCAACTTTGCACAGACCACAACCTGTTTCTGGCTAGCACTAACTTTCGGCACAGTCATCGCCGATGTGCCACCTGGCGTCCTCCCTCTGCATCCCAAGCCTGGACTCAGATTGATCACATCGCGATCAGCTACCGCTGGCGTGGTTGTGTAAAAGACTGCCGCTCCTTTTGGAGTACCTATCTGGACTCTGACCATGCCTTGGTCTGCGCCAATCTTACCTTACTTTTCAGTGGATAACGAAGTGACCACCATCAAAGGATTGATGTCAGCAAGTTGGTTGCAACTTCTGTTGCAAGTAAGTATCGAAGCGAGCTAGCTACCACCCCACCGAAAAGTATAGATGAACATTGGCTGCAATTGCTTGACGCCATGAAAATGACGGGAACAGTCAGTTGTGGGTTTGCGAAACGTCCCGCTTTTAACCACTGGGTTTCTTCTGGTTCCTTACAACTCATTGAAGCCCGTCGGTCTACTCCGGGTGACCGTGAGTTTGACCATAAACGAAGGATGTTACGTAGGGAAATTGGGCAAAGCTTGTGTAAGGACCGAGAAGCCTGGTGGTCGGAGCGTGCTAATGAGCTGGAAGCAGCAGCTGCATCTGGTAACTACCGGAAGCTCTTCCAGCTCATCCGAGCCACTGGCAGCAAGAAGTCTGGTGTGAGTGAAACAATCTGCGAGGATGATGGGATGCCAATCACTAACATCCATCGACGTCTTGGACGATGGGCAGAATTTTTCGAAGGGCAGTTCAACTGGCCTGCTGTTCCGGCAACATCGATCAGACTGTCCTGCCCTCCATGGCCGGTGACGACTGATCCACCAAACGAGGAGGAAGTCCGCAAGGAAATCCAACTCTTGAAGCGTTACAAATCACCTGGTCCAGATGACTTACCTCCGGCTCTTTTTAAAGATGGTGGTGACTTTTTGACTAAGGAATTGACGACGTTGTTTACAAAGGTGTGGGAATTCGAGAGTGTACCAACGTCATGGAATGAGTCGATAGTTGTCCCTATCTTTAAAAAGGGTTCACGTCGTTCCTGCAACAACTATCGGGGGATAAGTCTACTTCCGATTGCGTCCAAGCTATTGGCTTCCGTCATACTTCGTAGGTTGTTCAAAACCCGAGAAAGATTGACTCGCGAGGAGCAGGCTGGGTTTCGTTCTGGTCGAGGATGTATTGATCATATCTTCACCCTCCGCCAAATGTTAGAACACCGCCATACTTATCAAAGGCCAACAATCGTAGTGTTTCTTGACATCAGGGCTGCCTTCGATTCGTTGGACAGGACTGTTCTCTGGGATTGTCTATTGAAGAAGGGTGTGCCCGAGAAGTTTATTAACATCCTAAAAGCCCTATATAAAAACACCTCAGGCAGAGTGAGGGCATACAACCACCTCTCTCCATTGTTCCATTCGAGTAGTGGGGTTAGGCAGGGTTGCCCAATCTCACCATTCCTCTTCAACTTTGCCATCGATGATATTCTGGAAACAGCTCTAATGAATGTAAGTAATGGTAGTGTCGATCTGTTGCCTGGAGAAAGACTTCTCGACCTTGAGTATGCGGACGATATTGTCTTACTGTGCGATAATGCCCAAGGCATGCAATCCGCGCTTAATCAGTTGGTAATCAGTGTCCTTAGGTATGGTATGTGCTTTGCACCTTCGAAGTGCAAAGTACTTCTACAAGACTGGCAGGATTCTAACCCTGTACTCACTCTGGATGGTGAGCAGATAGAAGTAGTTGAGCAGTTCGTGTATCTGGGCAGCTGCATAAGTGCTGGTGGGGATGTGAGTGATGAGATTAATGCACGTATAGTGAAAGCCAGAGCGGCTTATGCCAATCTGGGCCATCTTTGGCGCCTTCGTGATGTTAGTCTGGCTGTAAAAGGTTGGATCTACAACGCGTCGATGAGAGCAGTTTTGCTCTATGCTTGTGAAACCTGGCCTCTCCGAGTTGAGGACGTTAGACGACTCTCTGTGTTTGATCATCGCTGTCTCCGAAGGATTGCTGACATTCAGTGGCAACACCATGTCAGTAATGCAGAGGTTCGGCATCGTGTGTTTGGGCACAGAGATGATAATTCAATTGGTGTCACCATCTTGAAACACCGACTTCGGTGGCTTGGACATGTTCTCCGAATGTCGTCCCAGAGAATTCCACGTCGTGCATTATTTGCCGACTCTGGGACTGGTTGGAAGAAGCGGAGAGGTGGTCAGTGCATGACATGGTGTCGTGGTATGAAAGAAAGCTGCAAAGGACTGACTTGTGTTGGTCCTTCACGACTCCCTGGTTGGAGTCTGAGAGATGGTGCTACACAGTGGCTAGAGACGTTATCAGATATGGCTCAGAATAGAAGCCAGTGGCGATCCTGCTGTAACCTTCTTTTACTTTCTTCATAATAGTGGTTGTGTCTCCCTTACTTGAAAGATTTCTTCTGATTGTACCTTTCTGTTCCATCGTTACGACCACACTACCTTTTGTGGTCCTTAGTTTTTTTTTCTATCTCTCTTCGTATTTTCATTGTTTTGTGTGGCGCATATATATTGGCGCTCTCTTGTACCAATATTTATGTGTTCAAATAAATAATAATAAATCCTTAAGGTACGACGTTGCAAGACGGGTTGGTTGGAGAATAGTAAGTGTAAAATCAGCAACTTGCGATCCGAAGGCGAAGTCATACTCCTTACTGTAGATGGTTGTGGCAGCAGTAAGGTGTTTCCTTCGGACAACCAGCACCTGCAGTGATGTTACCTTTTCACAGTGAAAGGAAGGGGTTCGAAGAGGTCGACCATAAAAATGTCACATCTAATCTTACTCAATGGATTTCCGTATCCTGCAGTAAAACCTTTTGGAGTACGGGGCTAGTACAAAACACCACCCGTCAAGAAGCCGTGCGCGACCGGCGTAATGCAGTTGTCCCTTGGGCTCTTCAGTCACACTCACAAGTCGCTAAGACCACCACTAATTGAGCTCTTTTAGGTCCCTCAAAAAGAAATATTCTTCCAAGGTTTGTGCAACTGGGAAGTGAAAACTGCCCTCACACCTCTATTAACACTCGAAGTCATCTTGCTGACTAACTGAGGAAAGTCCTACTCACTATCTTCTCGTGACGAGGGTATTTACGAAAGTGAGAGGAGGAAAAGTGAGTGTCTGATCCCTAAAGCTTGTTAGTGGGTACGGAGAACAGAGGTAGGGGAGTTTGAAAACGCCAATTTCAAACCAATGTTGCACTTGGTTCCTATGATCCTGAAGGATCGAATTTGCATATAAAACTATTCTTTACCATCAGCTACCATCTGACTTTATTTTTTAACGTTGCTTAACTGCTAATTCAATGATTTATTGTGTGAAGCATATATATTTTAGTGCTCCTTCGTACCAACGTATATGTGCTTAAATAAGTAAATATTGACAGCGGTGCTTCCCCAAAAATGTAAGACTGATGGTGGATGGGACATTATTTCACTTCACAGACTTATGAAGTACCGGAGGTCGGGTTCAAAATGTGTTAGAAAATAACTACCCACAAAATGGTCGTGTTTAATCAACCTAGAACAGTTATCCTTTGAACTGTGTGGACGTTTTTAGGTTGTCTAGACATGACAATACCAGTCCGGTTTCTTTCCTAGTTTTCAGCGTTTGTAGCTGAAAAATATCAGTCACCTGCATGCTCTTGCATTATGGTTTGATGTTAGGTTGTAACTCTTCTGTATTTTCAATTACCCGCTCCAATAATTAATCAGTTAGCTTAGGCCGCTACAGATATTGGATTCTACATTGTTCCGTTTAAATTGAGTTCATGAGAATAGCTAAATCTAATTACTCAATACACAAACAGTACATATATTACACTATCTGTACCTTTTTATGCAGCTTACATTGTAAGTTAATCTTTGTCTCGTGCATAAATCTCACTATGTACTAATAAGTTTGTATATTACTGACTACATTTATGAATTTATTTTTTTATCAATAGACAATGGATGATTCAAACATAGCACCGTTAACTACAGGTGAATTACAGTGGTTAGCAAACTTAGAAAGTGATGATCAATTTGGATTTCGTGAAGCGTTTATAAATTGTTGTTTAAATGATGGAGATTCTGAAACTAAAGCTTGTCTTATTTCTGTATGTAATCGGCTAAAGTTACCGAAGATTTTGGAATCAGTAACGACAGATGGTTAAACGTCAGAATGAAATGTTTTAAAATACACATTCACAGCTAAAAACGACGAGTGGGAAACGAGGGAAAATTTAACACCAGCAGATTTTATGAGATCAAAACATCAGCCAAACTTAATTTGCCTTTGTAGATTTTTTATTATTTGATTAAAAAAAACTCGTAACACTAATTTTTGCCTTGTTAGTATTTAATGTCAAGTCAGAAAACATCAGTCAGCTACAACGCAGGACCAGGCACATATATGCATCGGTCCAAGTTGCCACACCTTACTCATTAGGACAACAAGATGAACACCGAATTCATAGAAGTATTTAATTCAATGGTGGTAATATATAAAAGAAAGATTACATATATGGACATAGCACAGGAAGAACGAATTAGTTGGCAGAAAGAAAAATATAAAGCAATATTAATCTCATAGTTTAATGGAAGACAGAGTGTATAAACCTACGCACTAATGATCGATTCTGAGCCATGTCACACACAGTCTCCAACCATTGGTTACGATGATCACGCGGACCCCAACCAAATAGTCTGCATCTACCAACATGGCTCAGATTAGAAGTTAGTGACTTTATGGACTGATACCACATTTTGGTTTGGCCGCCCCTAACTTTCTTCCAACCATCCCCAACACTAGTCAGCATTGTGCGTCGTAGTAATTGGTGTTCAGGCATACGTAACACATGGCTCAACCATCTCAGTCGATGAAGATTCACAACTTCATCAACTGACTTACCATCATTCCCAAGTACACTGTGTGTAACCTCACCATTACTAACCCTGTGATCCCAGCAGATGTGAGCAATATTTATAAGACATTTGTGGTCAAATACTAGTAGCTTACGAGTATCCCCTACTCTTCATGGCCATGTTTCGCAGGTGTAAATTAGAACAGAACGAACTACCGCACACTATACTCGTCCCTTAATTGATAGAGGGATATTTTGCCTTCGCCATAGGTGATGTAAGTTGGAAAAGCCGAACAGACTTTTTGAATCCGTGCTGAGATTTCATTCAGAAAAAATAGATATATACTTTGTACTTGCAACTATGTATATATGCGGTCAAGTATTTCAGCCATATCCATAATGGTCTTTTGTGGAGGATGGGGAAACTTTGTTAGAGATAATTAAGTGAACATTTCTTATCGATATCATATTCTTTGAACTTCCGGTAAAAGTCAACTTGAAGTAGGTGATAATAATGCCGCTCAAAATGAGAGTGATAACTTTGCTACTAAAAAATTCCATCATTTTGAAGTTTTATGAGATAATCATGTAGACAAACCTCCACGTAAGTAAATACTGTTATCTATAATTAATCAGTAGGAAGGGATTGTTAATCATATTAGATATTTTGATCTGAGGTAATTGGGACTTGCGAAGCCCATGGTGTTGATATACATATTCGCTCATTATTGTATAGATTTGGACCGATTGTTTTGTATCACATATTCTTCATCTTTTCCTACTTGTTTATTGTTTTCATTTATTTTTTCCCTCTTGTAGTGTTATGTTATGTGACCATCAAAACTGTTATTTAGTGATAGGTCCCACGTTGCTCCTGTCTGTTCTCGTTTCTGAACTTTGGGTGAATGCGAGAGGCACTTGCGTAGACTGTTCTTATAAGCGTTTTTAGATCCACGATGGTTACAGTCAATCATTACAACATCATTCTAGATATCACGGAAATTGAACTTTTTAGGGGAAATAGAATTGAGTCACTGTCCACGTATGCACATGTTTGTAGAGTTAATTAAAATTTTGGTAGGCTAAAGACCATGTGTAACGATTTTTCTTCAGGCTTTTTTCAAGATGTTCGACGAGTTAGTGAGCTTAATGAATGATACGGTGATAGTTACAATCAATCTAAATAGCTCCAATCGACTACGTTTACTTCATAACACCCATTCTTCCACTGGTCTATATGTATGTGTGAAGACAACATTTGGTTTACTGATTTAAAGATATGTCATTACTTTGTAAGTATTTTCAATTAACAAATAAATACACTGACAAGTCAACTATGGAAAATTTAACTGAGAAAATCTGATACTCAATATCTCAGTTGATTTTTATAGTCCGTCTTCAAACTATTTTTGACACTGATTCCGCAATGGTTGTACCTGATCATTTGGTAGGGACATATTCCAAATTAAACCCATAACTAACTTAGTGTAACTGGCCAGAAGGTTTCAGAACTGAAAATCGATATTGGAAGCCTCTTCTTTGTTCAAGCCATAGAAAAAGATAAACGTCATTGATGGGTGCAGATTAATTTCATCGCTCAAGCACGAAACAAATCTTTTTCACTATCATCCACTAGCTTGCTAATGAAAGACCACACTAAGTTGATACCAGACTAAATATTAAACTGATCTCATACAAATGAGAGATCACATTCAATTAAGACAAAACGAAATGTCATACTGAATGGAGTGACACATGGAGTTATCAAATGGCCTCATACATGATGTTTTCCCGATATTACCTTGGTTAAATACATGAAAATGGCCCGTCTACTGCTGATAAACTTGATCAGTTGTTGTCCTTCGTCATTACGACCTGTTGATTTCTATCAGTCCAGTTTTGAAACAAATTAGTTGGTTAGATTATTCAAAGCATGTGACACAAAGAACAGGAATTCTCGATAGCGTCACTTTTTCTCACCGACGAACAACCTGAAATCCTGATATGGAACACTGACTTCAGGAGTTTGGAACTACACTGATACCAGGCTTCGAGTATTTCGTACTCGTGATAGGTCATAAGCATCTAACCGATTAATGATAAAGTGGATCATAATGGAGGTCTAAATAAAACAGTACATTTATTTGGCAATCATTCTTAACTAGATACATAGAGGTCGTGTATAAGCAGCTTAGAATGTATGGTAGAATACTGAATGAAATACTTCAAATCCTAGTGCAGATCGCTATTTTATAATAATAAGTGTTTAGGTTTGAAGGAATTATTTATTCTGTTAGCACGTATGTGACGTAAGTTTTTCTTATGACAAAATAGTAGTGTATCCAGCTAAATCTTTCTTCAGATAGAAGACTGTCGATATAAATGTAACTGATATTCATGGAATCGTTTACTGGTAACTTTTATTGTCATTTAAATAAGATTTATCTACAAATGATGTCGAGTTAAGTAATGTATACTTGTAAGTCGCATTCATTCAGCTTTGATTAGCAATAGTAAGAATACTTAATGTCTTACATTACTACTTGACAGACTGAAATGTTTTGGATTAGATAATATCGACTGTACTATGTTATCTGTTGGTAAGGAAAAAAAGTCTCCTTTTGAACTGATACTGCCGCTTAATAACTACTGTATATATGATCAATTTTCCATTGTCTACCTGCAACATAGTTCTTCTGTTTTAAGAAAGCTTCACATGGTTATGTACGATTCGACCAAAATGAGAGTGAGGAACTTCTAGAGACAGACTTATTTAGGACCCTAATAAAACTTCTATAATATTTCAACAAAATTATTTCTGTGTATATTTATTTTATAGAGATCGGTAGGTAAATTCTTAGTGAACCATAGACTAGTCAACTCAATTTAGGTTAATCAATAACTTGTCACAAGAAATCAATCAACCAATAGCGTGAAAATAAAAATCTCATGGTTACCGATGCTAATTCAATCTTAGCATTTGTTATATGGAGTCTTGGTTCTGGAAACAACTATGATTTAATACTCATTGATTTTCTTTGCTAATTTACCAGCTAGTGCAAATTTACTATTAAAATCATTCAAAGTTTTTATGAAACAAACTAAATCAAGGATACAATAACTTACAGAAATGTTAAAATACTATAAATAAATATCCTTTTCTCCTAATGTGTTGCTACAACTAGTTTTGTAGTATACTGATTATTATGAACTGGTTATACATAAGTTGGAGCAGAAAGTCAACTGAACTACATGAAGGTTTTGTACTGCGCTCATCAAATAGAGCCTTATTGAAAATATAATCACACTTGTACGTTATATAATTAGTTCATAGAATTGTGGTTATGCAAATTAGGAGTAGATTGTCATTAGTTAATTAACTGACTCAAAGTTCAATCCTGTTAAAAGATCATTTCTGAGTAAAACGTTTTAACAAGACATTGTTTAATTCTATCAATCACAAGTCAGGAGTGTGAATCAGTAGTTAAATTATGGAGATCATTTTGAGCAATGTCAAGCATACTTCAACAGAACTAAACATTCTTTTGAGTTAATTGAGACTTTAAAATTCATAGATGTATCTTTATTTCAATTGGACATAAATTTTACAGTATCGATTGAGCTTGTAATTATCACTTTTACGAAAAAATTTTCAAATGTTTACAGAGTCAGTTATCTTGATCTTACTTGAATTAGTGTCAGAGTCTTTTGTTTTATTTAATTCATTTTAAAGTATAATGATAGATTAACATGAATGAAATGACAATGTTTTCGTTACTTTAGAAACATGATCAATTGCAAAATGAATTTCAAATTATGTAATATTTTATTTGACTTATTAAAGAAACACACCTAAAATTAATTGAATACTACGCTTAGATACGAAATAATCTACATTATATATAAAAAAAGAAAAGAAAGAACAAGCCATATGAATGAAATACATTTTAATTTATCAGTTACTATACCAACTGATCATTTAGTTTCAACAAATAACTTTTTAAAATGGTTTCATTATTTCTTGTTGTTACATTATTCCTTTTAAACATAATTCCACAAATATTGTATGATTGTGACCCATTTTATGGAACATGTTTGTTTTTACTGAGATCAAAAAGATGATAGATTATCAAGATCCTCTTATATATATATATGACTTTTTCTTCTGTAGTGAAACTAACCAATAAGATATGAGTCAATTATTTCATTTCAATTGGTTAATTTTACTCAATTTATAGTATTTCTATAAACGGATACATATAATTACTAAGTACATATTTATCATTTATTTTATATTCATAAATCAAACAATTATTATTTTGATCAGTGAAAAGAATAAACAATATGACTGGATCTACGAAACCGGATCTTGATCGTTTAGGTTATTTTAGAGAAATGTCTTATGTTACAATTGGTGATCCATATATTGATCTAGGAAAATTTGTTTTCAATGAAGATTCTTGTAAAGGTCGACAAT